GTTATCTCAGTCTGCGCTCTTGTAGAGAGAGGGACAGTAAAATAAAAGGTGTTAAAGTGATTCTCTTTCCTCTCGGGCTAAACAATTTCTGCAATAACTGTTAATTGTATAGCCCATATGATCTGATATGGGTATCCGATTATACCGTTTCCGAGAAGTGGGTTTATAGGAAGAGAAAGAGTCAATGTATTTTTCAGAAATGCTGACAGGCTAGTACATTGTGGCCATCATTCAATCACCATGTTCGTGGAGTCTTAATCTAGGGAACTTAACTGGACCTTCGGGCACTATGCAAAAAAAAAAAAAAAAAACTTTTCTACTAATGACTTCTGCAGGAGCTGCCAGGATGAGGAGGAAGAAGAGAGTATCACTCACTTCATTTGTCATTGCCCCGCAGTATAAGATCATAGACTAAATCTTTTAGGTAGCAATATCTTGCTCGACTTAACCGTTTTATCGGAGGTTGATATCCGAAAGATAGACTCCTTTAATAGTGCGGCAAACTGGTTTGGTTTAGGAACCCAGAGTACTTAGGTCGAAGTGCACAAATACGCTGACCGTTTCTCTCGTTTCAGGTTTAACAAAGGGATCAATATACTGGAGCCTAGCGTGTCTCCAGTGAAGACATCGCCAATCTAACCTAAGGGTCAGAGCATAATAAATACGCTGCACAGCAGTTAAGATTTTTATATTGATTATTCATCGAACGAGGTCGAGGGGAGTATGAATATTCTTCAGCGAAACAGTTTTATCCACTTGAAGTACTGGGATGCCATCATTGTCAGAAGACTTATTTATGTTGAGATCCCTTAAAATGTATTTCCAGCTCGGGCAGTGGTTGTCCAAATAGTGTTAACTAAAAGGATAGCTTTTTCAACAGCTCCTATAAGGAGTCAGAACTGAAGAACTAGCATTATTCTTTACTATTTCGACGAATGAATGGTTTTACTGCTCTGGGAACAGTACGAACCTTAATAAGAATACTATTTTTCCTTAGCGATTCGACGTTACCCTCGATCCCATTCTCTTAATAGCAACCCTAAGGGACTTCTCTCTTAACTTAGTAATTAAAAACATTTAAAGTTCCTCCAGAATCACAAAAACCAATCACATTCAATGAAGTCATTCCCAACGTCATTCACCGAATTTACTGTTAATGTTCCTTTCGTTTCGGTCCATTTCTCTAATTAAATACTATTCTTTCTAGCTATGCCTAGATTAATTACCCACAACATTTTGTATGTTTTTTAATTACCCACTACATTTTGAATGTTTCTGGGACCTTAGAAATAAAAAAGGGTCAGTCAAGCTTCAGGTTAGCTTAAAAATGAGTATGCACCAGCGAGGTTCAACTCCACTCGGTAACCACTAAGGTACCATTGTCATTCCCTTCAGAGAAATAATAATAAAGAACTAACAGAAAGAACAGAAAAAATGAAATGACTAGAACTAGACTGAGGCCCAAGAGAAAACATGTTCTGAAAGTAAATGAACTCAGATACCGAAAGAAGGAAATTATGATAGGCGATCCTAATTAGACTATAATGGAAGAATTGGTAAATTTCCCCAATAAAACTTAATATACAACAATTCAGGCATTTTAGCGTGAGGTCTTGTATCCTATGATAGTGTCAGATGATGTGCTCAACTATCTCTAGTTTCTTAACATTCTCGCATGTCCTGCATAGATTTAAAGCCTGAAAGGCATCTATCTAATTCAATAAGTATGGTATTTGCTTTTACATTTTGTCTTGGCCATAAGGTCTCAGATACTGTGTAATTCGTTGTACTATTCCAGCACCGATTGTTAATATCGTGTAATCTTTCGGTTGTAACCTACGATTGTGAAAAATAAGTTATTTTACCCTTCTGACCTTTCATGTGGGTCAAGATTCGAACTTAATCTTGCTAGTTCGTCAACTACCTCATTATTCTCTATATTTGAGAGTTCTGGTAGCCAGCCGGTAATATAATTTTCTTAATTTACCTTATATTTAAATTACTTTTTAAAAATTTATCATTTTACGCCTTTTAAATACGTGCTGGGTGGCACTTTCACAAAAAGCTATCATATTTTAATTATATTTTAAGAACAAAATAAACAAAATTCTAAATACTATTGATTATTTATCAATTGTAAAGGTTTAAGAAAAGAGTTCACTGAACTTTTTGTTTTTAATGAATGAAAAATTTTGTTTATTTATGTTTAATATTAAATAATTTCATGTTTTTTGTTTATATATTTAGTGTAAATATTAGCTACAGTTTTTTTTTATGGGGGGGGGTGTATTTCTTTTTCTTTTTTTTTTTTTTTTTTTTGCAAAAAGTTTAAAAGCGATTTTTTACTTTAATGGAAATATTTTACTAATTTAGCATTTCATACAATATTAATTGTAACTAACACAAGTTTACATATATTAAGTTAAAAAAAAACTTTAAAATTCAAGAAAAAGTTAAGATTATTTTGAAAATGTAGAGCCTGGATTCCAAAAAGCATGTGGATGTAACACCATCGTCTATGAACCAAATAATATTGAATATGAAATAATTCGTTCGTGGTAGAAGCAGACAAAGCTTTATCAATTGTATTAGAGAAGATCTGGTATATCTGATCTTTCATAATCCAAATCACAGAGAATAATGAAACAAAAAAGACAAAAGAGATTCAATCGCACGTCTGGGTCTCCGTCCATTAGTTTGTGACAGTTTCGTTAAACGAGAACTTTAATAATAAAATTTAATACTTAGCAAATGTTATTGCAACGTGAATCTGTCCACGATCAACTAATTGATGTTTCAAATTGCCCAAAAATTGCAAAGCCAATTTCACATCTATTTAAAAAAATATCTAAAACAAAATAGGTACAACCTTTTTAAAGATTAACCATTTAGAAAACCAAATACGAAAATCAATAACAAGTTTTGTTTTTGCAACGAATGACTCAATACAGATTTAAGAATTAGCTAAACTTACTTGAATTGAATTTTTAAATAATAAAGAGTTATATGAAACACAAGACCTAATTTTAAAGTTGTTATAATTTATATAAGTTTATTTGTTTATTTAATAAAAAAGAAAATTATCTTCTTAGAAATTGCCATAGAAAAGCTTTAATTAAAAGAGTTAGAGTTTATTGTTATATCTAATATAGTAGAATTTGCAAAATATTTTGCATACTTCTTCTTCTAAGCAGACAGACACCCCTTTGTCAGCACCTCACAAGTCATAATATAATCAACCAAACACAATAACAACAAAACAGAAAAAAATACACATAAATATATATGTATACAAAAAAAAATTGATAAAAGCAGAGTGCAAAACATCATGAAAAAAAAAATAAAGAAAAAAGAATGTAGCTGAAAAAAATATATATACATACAGACAGACAGACAATAACACAGACACATCTTGCAAAGCACAAATGTGTATACCCTACAGTAATATAGAGGTATTGTGCTGATGGTTGTCAAGTATAGGAATATTACTATATACTTAAAGTTCAGCAATTTAATCAAAATTACAACATTCTTCTATGCAACAGTCTGTCTGTCCGACCGTGTAAATCTTGTGTTTAATTACAGTTTGCAATTTTGAAGTAAATTAAATGATATTTGTTAATTGAGCTTTTATTGAAACTGTTGGAACTCGGAACATTATTTCAAATCGATCAAATTCTTTCCATCCACTCTACTGTCCGTCCTTGTAAATCAAACTAGGTACAATTATCAATTTTGAATTGAATTCAATAAAATTTGTTAGTGGCGCTTTTAATTTACTAAAGACGAGGGCTATGGAAACTGTTGGAAACTGATATATTATTTCAATTAGATTCCATACACTTAAACCGTCATAGATCACTCTTAAGACTTCATATCTAAAGTTGAGCAGAAAGAATCTTTCAGGAAGGGTTTATGCAGAATCTAATAAACATTGTCTCATATATCGATAGCAATAAATATGATTAGCAGGTTGATATTCCGATGAAGATCTTTTATTATGACTTTAGTCAGTTTTATGCCAAAAACTTTGTAGAAAAATTTTCTTGAAAAATTAATCACTTTACTTGGGCCTTTATGATAGTTATAAACATTAAAGTCTTATTCTTCAAATGATCAAAATTAAATCGATGTTAAACACTTGAGCAAAATTTCAGGCATCTAATTCCTCTCGTTTGGGCTCTATCTTATTTTCAACAGAAAAAGAATTAAGAAATTCTTTCCATGTATTACTATTAAGGCCCAAATAGACTACACAAGCGGCTTGACAAACATACCAATATTTTACGTTTGTGCAAGCCTGTTGTGTAATGTATGAGGGTGTTTCGTGTTTGTACAAATGCTTGCTGTTTGTTTGTACAAAAATTAAAAAATTTTGATTTTTACACAAACATATTGAATTTTTGTCAAACCATTTGTATGGTTTATATTCATTAATAAAAAATTTTTCAAAAAATTTACATTTCTAAGAAAAATTGAGATCTGTATCTTTGAAAGTCCACAAAAACGTGAAAAAATCGGTGTTTGTACGAGCAATGTTTGTGTAGTGTGTGTGCGAATGAAAAAAGTATGTTTGATAAGCCGCTTGTATAGTCTATTTGGGCCTTTACTTAATGCCCATGTAGGGTATCTGATACCCAAAGTATGACCGACTAAACATTTTAATTTATTGATAAAAGAATAAATATCTTGCTCCTACTTCTCTTATAGCAACCAAGCATTATTGTTGGTGGCAGTTACTGTGATTTCTTTTTCATTATTTTTCTTCTTTTAATTATAATAATAGAAAAATAAATACATCTTTTACAAAGTCAAATAGCGAAACCTTATGGAATATTTAGTATCCTTGACAACTTCTAAAGTTTTTCTTGTTTCAAAAAAAAAAATAAAACTTTAAAATGGTAGAGGAGATCTTTAAAGACCCCAACACATAAATAAAATCAAAAATATACCACGTATCTTGTAATTTTTCGATTTTTTTTTTGCACTGAACTACTTACCAAGTTTTTCGCCATCACTACGATTTTTTCTTTTTACTGTTCAAGTAACTTTTATATTTTTTTTCTTTAATATTTTTGCACAAAATTTGTGTGTTATGTATAAGAAATTTAAAATTGATTTAAAACATTTAAAGCTTTGCTTTATTATAATTTTTTCTATTCTCAAAACTACGACTTCTTCTTTTTTCTTTTCTTTATTAATTTCATTTATTTTTTACATTTTTTCTATTTTTTTTAATATTTTTCACAAATTTTTCTAGCAGCAGCACAAAAACCAACAAATTGAAGCGATGAAAATGAAAATTATTGTGTGAAGAAGAAATGGAAAAAATTGTTAAGGTAATTTGTCGATAACACCTATTTGAAAGTAAATATTATCGATAGTTTAATAGTATGGTAGTAAATAATAAATCGATACTTGTGCTAGAGTTGTATTTTGAGGAGAGTGTGCGCATTTGGTGTAAAAGGGTGGCGGCTATAAATGATGTTATTTACATACTAACCACTCTAACCAACTCTAACTAACTAACTAACTAACTAACTAACTAACTAACTACTAACTAACTAACTAACTAACTAACTAACTAACTAACTAACTACTAACTAACTAACTAACTAACTAACTAACTAACTAACTAACTAACTAACTAACTAACTAACTACTAACTAACTAACTAACTAACTAACTAACTAACTAACTAACTAACTAACTAACTAACTAACTAACTAACTAACTAACTAACTAACTAACTACTAACTAACTAACTACTAACTAACTACTAACTAACTAACTAACTAACTAACTAACTAACTAACTAACTAACTAACTAACTAACTAACTACTAACTAACTAACTAACTAACTAACTAACTAACTAACTAACTAACTAACTAACTAACTAACTAACTAACTAACTAACTAACTAACTAACTAACTAACTAACTAACTAACTAACTAACTAACTAACTAACTAACTACTAACTAACTAACTAACTAACTAACTACTAACTAACTAACTAACTAACTAACTACTAACTAACTAACTAACTAACTACTAACTAACTAACTAACTAACTAACTAACGGCTTAAATATATTATAGGTATAACTCTCCGATTATGAAAAAATTTATACCACATATAAAGCTTTCAATTCTATGACTTCTGAGCCTTAGAAAAAGCTTTGAAATACCTTTTCAAAGATATATAATATGACCGCATTTATTAACCCTTTGAGAACAAATTCCACAAAAAGTCTTTTTTATATAGAGTTTTTTGATGAAAGTGCCGTTATTTCATAAATCCATCGATATAATGGTACCGATAAATATCGAGAAAATTGTAGAAAAGATTTCAAGCTTTCTTTTGATGTATAGATATAAGCTAATATCTTAATAAATGGGTATGATATTTAAGTTTAAAAATAGTAAAAAGAGACTGTGACAAAAAAATTCTTAAATTATTTAAAAAAGTGAAAAATTATTTGAAAATTTTTTCCCCTGCGGCGCTATCATCCAATTTTCGAATGTTTACCCACAAAAATTTGTATTTTTTTTTGGGGGGGGGGGTTTACAAATATAACATTTCAATACCCAAAAAATTTAAAAAAAAATTTTCAGGTCCGACGCTACATACCCATTTCCCAGTATTTACCCAGAAAAATCGCAATTTACTCAATACACATAAATCGGTACCTTCTTATGAATGAATTTTTGATATAACAGAACTTTTATTAATAAAGGTTAATATAAAAAGCACAGTTTGTATTAATCCTTCTCAATAGGCTAATAAATTAGCTTCTATTATATATCGTTGGAAAGGTATTTTGATGTAATTTTCAATACTTTACGTATATTAAGTTTAGTACTTTATATAGTTATAATACTTTATTCCTACCAAAACAACAACAATTAACTAATATCAAATAAAAAACATTAATTTTAGGTACTTTACCTTATTCCAACTACAATATCGTCTATATTTATTAAGATATTAATATATATCCATACATCAAATGAAAGCTTAAAATCTCTTCTGCAATTTTTCCAATATATAACAGTAACGTTATATCGATGGATTTACGAAATAACGGCATTTTTGTCAAAAAACTCTATATAAAAAATACTTTTTGTGGAATTGGTCCTCAAAGGGTTAATAAAAAGGATCATATTATATATCGTTGAAAAGTTTCAGAGCTCTTTCTAATGATATATATATTGTCCGGATGGGTTCTTAAATAGAGAAGATATTGATAATATATATATTTAACTTCGAAGGTCTATAACTCCATAACTATACATTTGTTGACCAAAAGACATATATCATATATCATAGAATTAAAAGGCCTATAAGTGGTAAAATTTTTGTCAAAATTGGAGAGTTATACCCAATGTATATTAGTTCCTTTTAAACAGTTACATATTGCTTTTTCTTTTATATTACAAAAAAGGAATGACCGGGATTACATTGGAATAACTGGATCCCCACTCTCTTTTGGAATGTATTAAACACCGAGAGTCAATATTTTGTTCAAAATTTGTTTACAGGTAAGTAATATATACCAGCAGTCATTGAAATAAAAGCAGCATAAATAACACATACATAAATTTTTATCAAATACAGCGTAAAGCTTTCTGTTTAACAGATGGCAATAAATTCTTAAATTCGCTTAATATCTATCTTAATTTTCTACAAATTTTTCAGTAACAATTTTTGCAATTTGCTCAACTTTTTCTTTAACTGCTTTTATAAAGTTGTAGAGTTAATGAACGCCGTCATAAAATTAGGATAACATCGAACTCTAATCTCTACAAGCGTTTTATATATATATATTTTTTTTGTGTGTATCAGTGATGCCAATTCTTGGGAATTTTCCTTTTTGTGGCGATTTTTTTCAAACATGTCACATGTACGGAAAAAGGGAAAGATTTCTTAAATTTGTAAAATGGTACGGATTTTTTCAATTTCATATTTTTTAGAAACTAAAAATATATAATTTTTTAACTGTTTCAGTTTTTGTTTAGTTTGAGCACAAACCAAGAAAATTCTCACAAATTTAATTTTTTCCAATTTGCTTTGAAATTTTAATATCTGTGTAATTCCATTTTTTTCAAATTCATAACTCATTTTTAAGTCAGAAACCACAAGTTGTACATATATATTTTAAAATTAATGTCTTAAAAATGTACAAGTTAAAAAAAAAAAATATTTCATGAAAAAATGTGGGTGTAGGGAAAAAAGAGATTTTTTCCCATAAGCGTAGGGATTTCTAAAAAAAATGTCGTGGCATCACTGGTGTGTATTGTAATCGCATTTGGGAAAAACAAGTGAAAATAGTTAAGTTAGACACGTTTTTTAACAAATAAAATTTAAAACAGTTTATAAAAACTGTTAATTTTTCTCGTCATCGTCAACACTCTATTGGAGGAGCAAAACTACAAGTATGGGAGTACCAGCATTCTTTCGCTGGCTTAGCCGCAAATATCCCAGTGTCATTATAGAGTGTGTGGAAAATAAACAAGTGGATCCAGAGACTAATAAGAACATTTATGACGATGCAACATTACCGAATCCGAATGGAGTGGAGTTTGATAATTTATATCTGGACATGAATGGTATTATTCATCCGTGTACTCATCCAGAAGATAAACCGGCGCCCAAAAACGAAGATGAAATGATGGTAGCCATCTTTGATTGCATAGACAGATTGATGAATATTGTAAGGCCGCGCAAGTTGCTGTACATGGCTATTGATGGTGTGGCGCCGAGAGCTAAAATGAATCAACAGCGCTCTAGAAGATTTAGAGCAGCTAAGGAATCTGTTGAAAAGCGTATGGAAATAGAGAGAATACGCAGTGAGTTGGCGGCTAAAGGTTGCATTTTGCCGCCAGAGAAAGAAAAGGGTGAGCATTTCGATTCGAATTGTATTACCCCCGGCACCCCATTCATGGAACGTTTGAGTCAGTGTCTGCACTACTATATACACGATCGCTTGAACAACAATCCGGCTTGGAAGGATATTAAGGTGATCTTATCGGATGCCAATGTGCCCGGTGAAGGTGAACACAAAATTATGGATTACATAAGAAAACAACGCTCACAACCTGACCATGATCCCAATACCCAACATGTTTTATGTGGTGCTGATGCTGATTTGATTATGTTGGGCCTGGCCACCCACGAACCCAACTTTACCATTATACGTGAAGAGTTCTTGCCCAATAAACCCAAACCCTGTGAATTGTGCGGTCAATTTGGTCATGAAATGAAAGATTGCACGGGCTTAAATGCGGCTGGTGTCAATGATGTGACTAATTTTAAACCTGATGTGCCTATAGGAGCCGAAGTTAAGTTCATATTTGTACGTCTCAGTGTATTGCGTGAGTATTTGAAGAAAACCCTGGAAATGCCCAACTTACCGTTTAAATACGAGTTCGAGCGTGTTCTGGACGACTGGGTTTTCATGTGTTTCTTTGTGGGCAATGATTTCTTGCCGCATTTACCTTCGCTGGAAATTCGTGAGGGAGCCGTTGATCGTTTGGTAGAGTTGTACAAGAAATGTGTCTACCGCACCAGAGGTTATTTAACCAATTCCGGTGAGGTCGATTTGGAAAGTGTGCAATTGATTTTAACAGATTTGGGCAATGTTGAAGATCAAATTTTCAAGGATCGCCAACGTAAAGAGCAACAATTTAAGCAACGTGAGAAGGCAAAACGTCGCCGTGAAGAGGGTTACAATGCTTCGGTCATGGAACAGTCAGGGTCATTCAAATTGAATCCATTGGGTAAAGCAAGTGCGAATCCATTGCCCCTAATCGATAATTATAAACAAGAGGCAGCTAATCTGAGAAATTCAACTAATGCCGCCTCTTCATCTCAGTCGAATGCTCAACAAGGCAAAGGCAATAAACGTACTGCTTCTCAGGCTCATTTGGACAATGATGATGAAGAAGATGAATATAAAAATGATGAGGTGAGTTTTCATATAGATGGATGGATGGATAATTGGATAGATAGATATAGATAGATAGATAGATAGATAGATAGATAGATCCTCGCTCGCTCGCTCGCTAGCTCGCATCGACTAGCTCGCTCGCTCGATCGATACATCGCTCGCTAGCGCTCGCTGCTCGCTCGCTAGCTCGATCTAGATCCTCGATCGATAGATCTCTCGATCGCATCGCTAGATCGATAACGTAGATACGATCGCTCGCTCGCTCGCTCGATCCTAGCTAGATCTCGCTCGCTCGCCTAGCTCGCTCGCTGCGCTCGCTCGCTCGCTCGGCTCGCTCTCTCGCTCGCTCGCTCGCTCTCTGCTCG